AAATTTACAGGCGGCGAACGAAAGAATAGGCATGATGCTTGGGCCTCCCTATACTTCAAGCAGCCGTAAACTCTATCAAGTAACCCAATAACGTGGCCCTTCGAAACCTGCAGGCATCTGGCCAAGAAATATCCCCCTTGACTTTCAACTCATACTTTGGATTTGGGGTGTAGCTTGTTTTTGCCCAAAACTTGAAAACCCAATAAGCCTTAAAACCCCATAAGCCCTGAAGTCAAAGCCCTAAGCCCTAAACCCCAAACCCCAAACCCCAAACCTAGCTTCCTGTTGCTGCCTGCGGGCGCTTCCCAAACCAGAGACGTTCCACCGCAGGGTTTGGTACTTCCACATCCACAACAGCCGCCAACCATCCGCCGTCTCCACCTTGGTTGGGGCAAAAATATCAAAAACAGACCTCTAAAACCTTAAACCCTACACCATAGGCCGCCCGCGCCAGGCGGCGGCCGGTACAACTGAACGCTACCGCTTCGAGATCTGCTTGCTTTGCCAAGCAGATCGAGCTTGCCACACCTGATGCATCCCTGCTAGCCATAGGGCACAATGTAATAATGGATTAACCCTAAACCCCCGACGCGCGACCCCGGCGGGGGAGGTCGGGCCTAAGAAGCTGTTGCGCCCCCGCTAGGTTGCCCCCGCCAGGGTTCCCCCACAAGGGTTGCCCCCGCCAGCCAGGGTTGCCCCTGCCAGGGTTGCCCCCAGCAGCCCCCAGCAGCCGGCCAGGGTTGCCCCCGCCAGGGTTGCCCCACCAGGGTTGTCCCCGCCAAAGTTGCCTCCGCCAGGGTTGCCCCCGCCAGGGTTGCCCCCGCCAGGGTTGCCCCCGCCAGGGTTGCCCCGTCAGGGTTGCCCTTGTTTGCCCCTGCCAGGGTTGCCCCCGCCAGGGTTGCCCCGTTAGGGTTGCCCCCGCCAGGGTTGGTTCCGGCCAGGGTTGCCCCCGCCAGGGTTGCCCCCGCCAGGGTTGCCCCCGCCAGGGTTGCCCAGGGTTGCCCCCACCAGGGTTGCCGCCAGGGTTGCCCCCACCAGGGTTGCCCCCGCCAGGGTTGCCCCCGCCAGGGTTGCCCCCGCCAGGGTTGCCCCCGCCACCTGTGTGCTTCGTCGCCCTTGTCTATGAAGGGCCCTGCCAAAGTTCTCCATTAGGGGCCCCCGCCAGGGTCCAGACATATAGAAATAAACATCCTGCCAGGGTTGCCCCCGCCAGGGTTGCCCCCACCAGGGTTGTCTCCGAGGTTTGCCCCCACCAGGGTTGCCTCTGCCAGGGTTGCCCCCGCCAAAGTTGCCCCCACCAGGTTGCCCCGCCAGGGTTGCCCCCGCCAGGGTTGCCCCCGCCAGGGTTGCCCGCCAGGATGGTCAGGGTTGTCCCCGCCATTTTTAATATTCTTAATCTACATTTTCTATCTTCTAATATTCCTTTAAGGAATTCCACTGATAATAAAATGGCATTTTGCCCTTTCATTATTAGTAAAGATTTCTATGGAAAGATATTAATTCTCGATCTATATCTTCTTCAAATTCATTTCGGCTTCTCTTCTTTCTCACATCCAGTGAATGCAGTAGAAGCATGTGGATTACTTACTCCCTTACATATCGTACCTGAATGGTATTTCTTATGCCAATATGCTATGCTAAAAGCTGTACCCCAAATAAAAATGCAGGATTCATTATCTTTCATCCTATTTTACTTTATGAGAAGTCTTTCAATGTCATTCTATGTTAAAATTAAGACGTCCAGTAGATTTAATGGTTTTTATCGCAACCCCGCCGGGTTGCCCAGTTTTACCATTGCCAGGGTTGCCCCCACCAGGGTTGCCCCCACCAGCCCCCACCAGCCCGCCAGGGTTGCCCCCGCCAGTCGCCAGGGTTGCCCCCGCCAGGGTTGCCCCCACCAGGGTTGCCCCCGCCAGGGTTGCCCCATCAGGGTTGCCCCCGCCAGGGTTGCCCCCACCAGGGTTGTCTCCGAGGTTTGCCCCCACCAGGGTTGCCTCTGCCAGGGTTGCCCTTGGCAGGGTTGCCCCGCCAGGGTTGCCCCCGCCAGGGTGACATTGCCCTCGCAGGGTTGCCCTGGCAGGGTTCCGCGCCTCCTCACGTCGCCTACTCAGGAATTGTGCACCTTCTCTGCGACGGCCCTACGCACCTCGTCCTCTTCGCGCGCTGGCGAGGCTTCGTCGTCCTTCTCTATGAAGTTTTGTTTAGTTGCCGAGCTGGGCTTCAAGTGCGAAGGGCCCTGTCAAAGTTCTCTATTAATTAATTGCCAGGGTTTCCCATTAGTAGTCACCCCCGCCAGGGCCCCGCCAGGGTTGCCCCCGCCAAGGTTGACATATATATATATATATGTAGAGAGAGAAATTTGAAATAAGAAAGTATTTTTAATACAAAAAAACCTCGCCTTGCCCCTTCCAGGGTTGCCCGTGCCAGGGTTGCCCCCGCAGTTGCCCCCGCCAGGGCCCTTGCGCCAGCGGGTGGCCGGGCCTTCCGCGCTTGGCCCTCGCCATTCTGCCATATGAATGAGCTTGGGTCCGGAATTGGGCTTGAGGGTGTCTGAAACACAGTATGGGTGAAACAGATTGTCCCGCTCCCTGTTGATCCAGGAAAGTGTAGGCTCAAGCAACAGCAGCAGTCAACACGTCCCACCCCGGCCAGCGGGGAGACTCGAGGTGTAAGCCCCCTTGATAGGGGGGCCGTGGGGGGTAGACCGCTCTAAACCCGAAAAAGGCGGCAGTTTGGGTGGCTGGGGTGGGATCCGCTGCACCGAGGCGGCCCGACCCGCCACCACTGGCGCGGGTCGGGACCGCGGCACTTTGGAACACCCTAAACCCTAAACCCTAAACCCTAAGTCACTAAACCCTTTTTTGGCGTTACCTTTGGCTCCTTCTGTGCAACCCTGTAGCCGAAACTCTCTTGGGTCTACACTTCAGGGTTCAAGAGGCATAGCAGTCGAGACCCTCTACCACAAAGGATCCATGTACTCGTGTGGGGGTTGAAAGGGTTTAGGGTTTACAGGGTTTAGGGTTTTTAGGGAACCCTAAACCCTAAACCCGAAGCCCCCGAAACACTAAACCCTAAACCGTTAGCCAAGCCCTACACCCGAAGTCCAGGCCACCGAAGAGTTGTCTCAGGAACTGAGTCTGCGCGAAGAAGTGGCGCAGGGTAGATCCTCCTTAGTTGGGCCGTAAAGTACCCTTATAGGCTTTAGGGTTTAGGGAGAAGACTACTTTGAAAGCCCCAAGAGAGGGTACCATACGCCTCTAACTCGAACTGTAGTAGTGTAAGAACCCTAAACCTAGACCCGAAACTTTCTACCCAACATATACATACATATATATATATATATATATTTGGCCACACACATATATATATATATATATGTATATATATATATATATATATGCTCACGCCCCCCCCCCCATGATCCACGTTTCTGCTTCGAAACAGATGGATCTTGGGAGGAGAGGGGGCCATGAGCTAGCGATAAAAACACCGACAGGGCCGACAAAAACCTATATCATTTCAAGTCAGGCAGGTTATTTACATCAACGAGGTAGAGAAATACCCGAAAAAACCATGTTTTTTTTTTAGAAAACTCGAGCCGGCTCGAATTTTCCAAAAAAAACTGACACAGTAGGTCGCCCAAACACGAGCAGGCTCGAATTTTCCAAAAAAACCTAAATTTCAGGATCTATGGCTCCAGCAGCCGGGTAGATCCTGAAAGTTCAGTTTTTTTTGGAAAATTCGAGCCTGCTCGAGTCTGGGACCTAAAGCTTCAAGAATTTTAGGAAAATTCGAGCCGGCTCGAATTTTCCAAAAAAAACTGACACAGTAGGTCGCCCAAACACGAGCAGGCTCGAATTTTCCAAAAAAAACCTAAATTTCAGGATCTATGGCTCCAGCAGCCGGGTAGATCCTGAAAGTTCGGTTTTTTTGGGAAAATTCGAGCCTGCTCGAGTTTCTGGGACCTAAAGCTTCAAGAATTTTAGGAAAATTCGAGCCGGCTCGAATTTTCCAAAAAAAAACTGACACAGTAGGTTGCCGAAACACGACCAGGCTCGAATTTTCCAAAAAAACCTAAATTTCAGGATCTATGGCTCCAGCAGCCCGGTAGATCCTGAAAGTTCGGTTTTTTTTGGAAAATTCGAGCCTGCTCGAGTTTCTGGGACCTAAAGCTTCAAGAATTTTAGGAAAATTCGAGCCGGCTCGAATTTTCCAAAAAAAACTGACACAGTAGGTCGCCCAAACACGAGCGAGGCTCGAATTTTCCAAAAAAAACCTAAATTTCAGGATCTATGGCTCCAGCAGCCCGGTAGATCCTGAAAGTTAGGTTTTTTTTGGAAAATTCGAGCCTGCTCGAGTTTTCGAGACCTGGAGCTTCAAGAATTTTCGGAAAATTCGAGCCGGCTCGAATTTTCTAAAAAAAAATGCTGAAACCATAGCTGTATGACCCCAAGGCCTCATAGATGACATAATTTAGGTTTTCTTTGGAAAATTCGAGCCTGCTCGAGTTTTCGAGACCTGGAGCTTCAAGAATTTTCGGAAAATTCGAGCCGGCTCGAATTTTCTAAAAAAAATGCTGAAACCATAGCTGTATGACCCCAAGGCCTCATAGATGACATAATTTAGGTTTTTTTTGGAAAATTCGAGCCTGCTCGAGTTTTTGAGACCTGGAGCTTCAAGAATTTTCGGAAAATTCGAGCCGGCTCGAATTTTCTAAAAAAAATGCTGAAACCACGGCCGTGTTACCCCAAGGCCTCATTGATGACATAATTTAGGTTTTTTTTGGAAAATTCGAGCCTGCTCGAGTTTTCGAGACCTGGAGCTTCCAGAATTTTCGGAAAATTCGAGCCGGCTCGAGTTGTCCCTATTTCTCTTGAAATTCTGACTGTGTGAGGCTTCATATATCACATTGTCTAGGAACGATGGATTTGGATACATGAGTGTTGGATTTGGGTAATACATGTGTGTTAGTATAAGGGGCGTCTCTGCGACTCCACAGTATGATTTTGTGTTTCCACTGCAGCTTTCTGTTTCAACAGTTGGTTATCGTCCCTCTTCTCGTTGCGCTCACTCCTTGGGAGATGATCCGAAACGGGGCAGACATTTCCTTGCAAGATGCTCTGGATGCTACGAACTCCTTAGTTCTACGATCTCTCAAGAAGCCGAACATTGTCGATGAACCCGCTGGGCTTGTGGCGCCAGTGCATCTCCCCATCGAGACATTCACGGACAAGACTTCGAAACTCAAGCATGCCTTCGACGTCGTAGGTGAGATTGATTTTGGACATGAGCTCAAAGAAAAAGTAAGCCATTGTGTCCGCACAAACACTCTCCATCTACTACCAGAACCGTTCGGCTTCAAGAAGCTTCCAGATATCACCGTTGAGCTACAACTTGCAGTCGTCCCTACCCGGAACCCCAACAAGTTCTTCTTGGTGAAACATTTCATCACAGAGCAGCAAGTGAAGGCGTCATACTTGCGAGATCTCTGCTTCGGTACACCCAACATCGTGAGTTGGGGTGGGTCGGCTAAGAATCTCCGGAAGGCCTTGCACTACATGTTCGAAAAAATGGGGGGGTATCAGGTCGTGCGGTACTCCTTGCAAGCCTCGGCTGTTGCTTCCGAGTCAAAGAATGTTTTCTTTCACAGCCTCTCTGAGGAGGACATTGATGCAGGCTTCGATTTCATTGAGAGGGAAGGTCCTCCAACCCATCACTGCAACACCCAACTTAGGTGGATATGCAAACAGCTGAGCCAGGAAGACAGTCCCATTTCTCAGTGGCCAGAACGTCTCATCAAAGAAGCACTTCGAAACCTTATGTCTGACGGTGTTCTCGCCTTACCAGTTACTGATTACCCTCTCACCCTCGTGGATGTGAACCCTGTCATTCTGAACATCTTAGAGAAGATCTTCCCCCTGTTTAATGACAAGGCTGTCGGCATGCACGGTCTCCCCAATGTCGGCAAGACGCCACTCGCAAGAATCATTGCCATGGCCATGTCAAGGTACTGGGTCGAGAGGTTGAAGTCCAAGTACAAGCCAGCCTACCGGGAGTCCTCTGAATTCGAAGGAAGGAACGCCCCGACATTTTTGATGACGGGACTTTGCCTGAGCAACCGATGCGAAAACTCAAGGGTTTCTGTGATGTTGGCAACACAGTCCTTACGAAGGAGAGATGGGGCGCTGCGAAATTTCCTCAGGGTCAGCTTCGCATCTACATCTCAAACGACATTGAGATGACAGCAGAACCCCTTTCCAGGTCATCAGGCAACACCATCAGTCACAAGGAGTTGCTCGCCATGCTCGAGCCATCATGGATGAAGGGAACAGGCCTCCCAGACATCCTTGCCGTGCTCAAGCGAACTTGCATTCTCATCATCACGTCAAAGTACTTTTACTGTCGCCCAGCTACGGATAAGGAGGTTTCGGTCCCTCGAATTCCTTTGGATGAATCAGCTCCTCTCCTACGTGAGTCCAGTGGCCCAAAGTACATGCAGTATCGACGGGGAGACAGATTTCCTCCCGATGAGTCTCATCTTGCATGGGAACGAGCATGGATGCACAGTGTCATGGACAACAACAGCATGAACATGCCAGAGACGCCGTACGAAATTCGTGGGGGAGGGCTTTTCGGTGATGCTCCTGATGCCAATCGTCTTCAACTTGTCGTACCAGCCATTGTGAAGAAGGACTTTTAAACCGTGTTATAACGAGGGAAAGCATAATAAGAGTAAAGCACATGTCCACCTCACCCCTTCCAAGCACATTACCCCCCGATAAGCAAGACCTGGAATCATGCATTTTCAGTCGAAACTCCACATCCCTTCCAAGCACATCACCCCCCGATAAGCAAAACCTGGAATCATGCATGTTAGATGTGTTTTGCATTTTTTTATAAGGAAACTCACCAAATAGAAGCCTCTGCGAAGCTAACGTAATCTTAACAAAATGGGGACCATGTCTTCTTGTTTCAGCTCATTCGATAGGAGCCACGAGCGTTTCCCCGGTCATTGTCATTGGGTCCAAACTCAATTGTGGATTTGGACAACACTCCCCCAAAGAAGAAGGTGAAATCGGAAAGCTTGCTGGACGTGAAGAGCGAGCCCAAGACATCAAGTCCATTGCCTTGTCAGTACGAACTCATTGACCTAGTGTCCGATGATGAGAAGCCCATGTCTCCATCCTCTCCATGCACAGATCTCCCAGCACATCCCGCGGAGCCTACAGGATACTCACCTACCGCCGCATGGTCCCAGTACCCAGAGAATCCAGAGTTTTCGGGTCTTGATGATGGTGATGAGATGGACGTTGCTGAGGACTAGACTGGCATACCGAGTGAGAGCACAGAGGCTATCATGACAGCATAGAGGGCACCACACGAGCAATTATGTTGTAACGCCCGAAAATATAATAAAGTGCGAATATGTCTATTCATTTTGAACGACGTCGTTTTGAAACTACATTGTATGTTTTAATCATCAGTGTAGACAATCGTACATGATAGGGTGCCCAGATTTTGACAGAGACCCGGCCGGCTCTATGAACAAAGTTGCACATTTGAGTTTCTTGAGTTTGTTGCTTCAGTGAGGCAGCGTGGAGCAGCAACCTCATGAACACGAAGACGTTCGTCTGTGTATCTCAAGCTGTTTGTATGTGCGTAGGTTTCATCACAAGTTTTGTTTTCACTCCAGAAGACCGATGCCAAAGAAGGTTCGGAAATCCATGAAAAGAGCCGCGCCGTACTGGCCAGAGCCCAAAAGGGGAAAACGTCGCGTGCAAAGGAAGCCGTCCAGCAAGCCGTTCGTCAAGGTGCCCTATGTGCGACACGGGTGTGTAAAACCTTTGGTGCGAGTGGCAAACCAGAGGTGGGGGACATCAATCCAAAGCATTATGTCACTCAGAGGTCTTCGACTCATCAACATGCTCAAGAAGAAAGACATCTTGCCGGAGTGGAAGGGGAAGCTGTGTCCTAGGTGTGGCGTGGGCAAAATGGGACCATTGAAGTACAACACGGCCAACAAGACCTGGACACACAGGTGCAACCACTACAAGTGCCACAAGAATCTTCAGCCTCACGATTTCCACCCGATTTTCTATATGGGGGCAGGGAACTCACATAGCCCTCTTCACGTCCAGGCATCTATCCTCTTGTGTGCTACAGCCGGTGTCAAGGAAGTCTCCACCCATCTCATCCTCGACACGTCAAAGAAGCCAGTAGAAACCATTTACAAGAACCTTGAGACAGCTAGGAGCCGGTACGTGAATGCAAAAGAGAAGGACATCACGTATGGAGATTGGCATGATGTCGAAGTCGATGAGGTGGATGTGGGAAAATTTGTGGACCCGTCCATCCAAGATGCGAAGAACACCACGTGGGAACAGTGGGGTGGAATGGTAGAACGGGGAAATCCTTCGTCCCTACGTCTCTTTCGGTTGAACCCGAAGAAAACAAAGCAATCAGCCCCAGGGCCAGGTCCGATCAGGAAGTGTGACTGGGTACCTGTGGCCAAGAAGTATCTCAAGAACATGAACGTGGTGCTTCATTCGAATGGTGCCCGCGCGTACACCATGAAATTCCCAGGAATCATCCACTGCAATGTCGTGCACAAGAAAAAGAGGAAAATCGTCAAGGGCAAGGACGGAAGGTTAACAAACGGGAGAAAGCATGAGTCTTTTAATTTTGTTATTTTCTTTTTTGTATCTGTGCAGGCAGTGTGGGTCCGACCTCATTTCACCAAGAACTACACGATCACCATACCGGGCAAGGGCAAGACGGTAGTGAAGAGTGGCACGCAAGTCATCGACCGGTTTTGGGGATTCTTGAGGAGTCATTTGAAATATGTTTCCCGTGTCCCAGGCAATGATGCGATGACCAGGAAGATCAGAAGTGCTCAGTTTGAATACTGGCACAGGCATCAAAACATGTGGGAGGTTACAGGAAAGATGCTTCGCTTTCTACACGACAGTCGCTAAAGTTGCCATACACAGCTTGGCTTTGCATAGCAGACGCTGTCATCGTGCCACAGGCGTGAGGAAAAGAAATCATGCTATAAGTTCAGGTATGTGTCTGTTTGAGTGAGTAAGTTATTGAGTGACAAAACGAATAACAGAGATTATCAAACCACAGAAAACCAAATCCAGAAACTGATTCTGTTTGTAGATTTCTGTTGTTTAAAAGTATAGATAATGATTAGCAAGTTGTAGCTTCAGACATGGCAAGACACGAAAGTATCGTAAATATCGGTGTTTATTCACTACAACCATATGTGTAAGTAAGCACAGGTGCAGAAGGGCAAGCAAGAAAAGGACAAGTATGGATCATGGGGGGGTGTGACCATATATATATACATATATCATTATCTATATATAATATTATATGTAAACACATCAAAATATTTATATTCTTCTCAGATAATGGTGTTCATTTTGTTCCCCAGACTCCGATCTCCAGGTACGCGAAGGTGGAGATCCTGGCCACTTCTCTCTGTAGCCCGAACCAATGGGCCAAAGGTTTAGGGCTTATAGGGCTTATAGGGTTTATAGGGTTTATAGGGTTTATAGGGTTTATAGGGTTTATAGGGTTTATAGGGTTTATAGGGTTTATAGGGTTTATAGATTTTATAGGGTTTAGAGGGTTTAGAGGGTTTAGGGTTTGTAGGGTTTAAAGGGCCCATTTACCAAGAAGAAACCATACTGAATGAATTAGCGTTTCTGGGGTACCCAGAGTTGAAAAATGGTACTTCAAATGGTCCTCTGGGGTAAGTTCCTAGGAGCTGCCTAGAAATCCTGCGTGTATCTCCAATTCACCCTTAGGGTTGTGGCAACTAGCCCTGAATTAGTAGGTACTGCGGGAGAACCATGAACCCTAGAAGCCCTAGTTGGCCTACACAGAAAAAAGCCCAAACCTCAAACACAAAATGGCAAAATCAACCAACAAAATCTCCTGTGAGCTAAGCCTGTGAACCCCTGGAACCCCTAAACCCTGCCTTAAGAACCCAGTGTCTTGTTTGTAGGTTACCTACGAATCCTATAGGGGCTTTATACTAAGAAATTAATTAAAGCCTAAATAAACCCTAAACTCTAAACACTAAACCCCAAAACCAACCCCCCCCCCCCCCCCAAAAAAAAAAAAAAAAACAGCTAGCTGGCTCCTCGGAGTGTCCAGAATGAGACGTGCTTTGAGTGCCAGCCAGCTCAGCAGGTCCTGCAAGATTACCCAAAACCTAAACCCTAAGCCCTAAGCCCTAAGCCCTAAGCCCTAAGCCCTAAGCCCTAAGCAGCAGGTCCTGCAAAATTGGGCCACCGGCAGTCCAATCCACCTCTGTCCTGGATATTCCCCCTAATTCTTAGTAGGGAATGAGGGAATTGGGGCCCTAAACCCTAAACCCTAAACCCTAAACCCTAAACCCTAAACCCTAAACCCTAAACCCTAAACCCTAAACCCTAAACCCTAAACCCCAAACCCCAAACCCTAAACCCTAAACCCTAAACCCTAAACCCAAACCTTGAACCCTAAACCCTAAACCTTGAACCCTGAATCCAAAGCCCAAAACCCAAAACACAACACCCTAAACCCTAAGCCCTACATACACCCTCTAAGGGATTCTATTGGGTACCTCATCCCGTCCCTACTAAGATCCAGCCAGCTTGGGGGGTTATAGAGGTGAGGGTTTCGGAAGTTGAGGGGTTTGGGGTTCTAGGGCTTCGGGTTCAGGGTTTGGGGCTTTGCGTTTTAGGGTTCAGGATTGTAGGGTTTTAGGGATTTAGGGTTTAGGGATTTTGGGTTTTAGGGTTCAGGATTTCAGCATTCTAGGGTTTTAGGGTTTAGGGCTTTAGGTTGTTTGGGCTTTTGGGCTTAGAGGATCCAGTTGGCCGATCCGGCTTTGTCTGGGTGTGATGCTTGTAAGCTTGGGGCTTGCAGGAGCTGTGGCTGAAAGCTTGGTACCCCAGTAACCATATTACAATGAGGGCACCCCTTTTTTTGTTGGTTAATTTATAAGGGGGCCTTGAACCAAAAAAATGGAAAAGGGTACCACTTGGCTACCAAGAAAGTGATTTGTCATGCGAAACGGGGAGCACAAAAGCAGCCGCGTGTCAAGATGTAGCCCAGCGCCTTCATTTGTCGGCCTGTAGTGTGTGCTTTTCAACAAGCGACGGGGCGACGGGTGGCCGGCTCATGATGATATAGGGCTAAGTTTACTTGGAGCTTCATGGGTACTTACAACCCCAATTATAGGTCCACCACTTATCATGTGCACCAAGGGCTTGGGGGACTTAGGGGGTTATAGGTACAGAGCTCAAGTAGGGCTTACAGGTTTTGATATGGACAGAGCACGGTCTTGAACGGTTAGCTGGTCAGGGTCCGGGGAACTTGTGCTAACCCCCCACTACTGCTAATTACTACTGATAAGAATCGCAATATTGAAGCTGTATATACACCTACACACTAATCCCTAAACCCTGAACCCTGAACCCTAAACCCTAAACCCTCAACCCTAAACGCCAACACCAAATCCAAGTCTATACTGCCGCCACGAGACAGCGCCAGAGCATGCCCGCCAAGTTCACGGACCGGTCGATGTAGGATTGCGGCGCCCAGTTTCGGATGGCGTTGCGCGAGCGGTTGTTGAAAAGGGCCACATCCTTGGGCACGTACTCAACCCAGGAAGTTGGGATCATGCAGGCCATGCTGCCGTGATCCCTATTAAGGACTACTGCTGGGGCCAGAAAAAACTTTCAGAGTTCGTTTAGTCTGCAAGGATCCTCCAGTGTCCAGTGGCCAAGATCTTGAGTGCATCGTGTTGGAGGCGCGTGAGAGGACAGTACGACCAGGGTGAAAAGCAGCTGCAACGCTCCGGGTACTGGGTGGTAGGTGCTCACGTCGCTCAGGGCTCCCACAGGCCGGCGCGATTCTGGAGTCTGCATCCAGCCATGTGATGCGAACATGCCTACCAACTCCGAATGTGGGCTGAAAGCTTCCTCTGGGGGTAGGGGTCTATTCAGGGGTTAAGGGTTTAGAGGTTCAGTCCTTGCTAGATGACCCCTCAAATCAAACACAGCCGCACCCTGTGAGACGAAACATCACGCAGCTACGCCATCGACTGAAGCTACGTGACCTCACACCTGGCAGAGTAACGACTCACTGATGTTTAGTTTTCGAAGAGGGCAGTGCTTGCCGGTGATCTTAGAATTAAAACCTCGTGCATCCTGGGTTCTCAACAGCAAAGGAACAACAAACAACAGACCACGGCTCAACCGTGGGACAATTGGGGCTCAGCGCCAACCACCCCCTGATGTGAAATGCCCAGATATAGGGGTTTGCGAACATAGGGGACCCCTAAAATAGAGGCCCTAATCGTAGCATTCCCTTATAATAAGGACCCCAGTAAGGTACCCCTAATTTCGGTACCCTCGTTAAGGATCCGGGAAGAAACAGGGGTGTAGGGTTTAGAGTTTAGGATTTAGGGAGTGGGCACAGCCTCATCTGAACCAGAACAAAAACACACCGCGCTGAGGCTGCGACCCTTCAGACTATGCCGCAAATTTAACAGTGGGGCGAGGATAAGGGTTGTGTTCTGAGCCTTCGAGTGATCGTGCGTTGGAGTATAACGAACTTTGATGGAAGCAATTTGCGCTGCCAAGGAAGGAGCAAACCGAGAACACCGCTAGGCTGAAGCTCTAAACTTCCCTCGGACCAAACTGCCAAAAAAACCCTGAAACTCTAAACCCGAAAACTCGAAACCCTAAACCCGAAGCCCTAACTATCAGTAAAAAAAGCCCTAGAAGCCTAAACCCGAAACTCGTTTCCCTAAACCCGAGACCCCTAAACCCTCGAATTCTGCAGCCTCTCCTCGGCACGCCATTTTTTTAACCGATGAGTGCTCGGCCTCGCCGTGGCTCTTTGGGCAGCTTGGGGCCTGGCAGACGACCGAGCCCGCGCTCGTGCTCCGACACGTCCTGCAAATTTGGAGGCCCTAAACTGAGCTGTGCTTTAAACCCTCAGAGTTTTTCTTTATGATTTTATGAGTACATAGGCTGTCTGATAATTAAGGAGGGAAAACAAACATATCGCAAAACACAACTGCAACCCGGTAAATCCTACCTTGACCCCTTACAGTGTGTAACAAAAATAGCCCAAAACCCATACACAGCACCGTTCTTTTACATACTCTGGGGGTTTAGCTACACCCTAAAGTCTTAACGTCAAGACCCGTGCATGATCTAGATTCTAGATGGTCCTTCTTGTTCAGCCTGGCATTCCCGGCCGTTTCGGCAAGATGTCTGTAGCGCCGGAACTGGTTGTTCAAGCGTTCCAGAACCACTGCTGCTCTAAGGCGTTCCTTAGGGTTAATGTCTCTCCGCACTTCTGCGCATGCCTTACACCCTAAACCCTAAACCTAAAACTTACACCCTAAGCGCAGATGCAAACACGATGCATTGTCGGCCTTCATTTTCTGGTAAGCTGCTGAGCTGTGGATGCTCATTTGGGCATGCAGGAATCGGATATAGAATCTAGAATGTACAAGCATACAAGTGTAACATGCATGTGTATATATATATATATACACAGTGCAGGGTATGTTTGTGGCATGCTTTCGCACTTCCCTGAAACCTATACCCGAAATCCCTAAACCCTAAACCCTAAACCCTACACCACAGAGCCCAAAACCCAAAATTTCTCTATGAACTGCTTTAGAGGGATGCATTCCCACAGGGGGTTGAGGCCTCGGTTTGGGGCGGGGGGTTACTCCAATTCGGTGCGACCCAGTCGCTCGCGGCACTTGGCGAAGCCTAGGGTGTTGGGGTTCAGGGTTTAGGGTTTGGGGTTTAGGGTTGTAGGGTTCGAGGTTTAAGGTTTGGGGTTTATGGTTTGGGGCCTTACACCGAAGCGAACAGGCCTTAAATGACAAACGCTGTTTATTTCGAACATCCCAACCCTCTCTTGGTAGAGATATGCTGGGGTTGGGCACTGCAGGGACACTCTGGGGCTGGGCACTCCGAGGACACTACGCTCTGGGGTTGGGCACTCCAGGGAGACTGTGGGGTTGGGCACTTAGGGGGCCGCTGGTTGGGCACTCCAGGGAGGCTCTGGGGTGAGGCACTCCAGGGACACTCTAGAGTTGGGCACTCCAGGGACACTTTGGGGTTGGGAACTCCAGGGATGAGCGAGGAGAAGAGTTCCGGAGGCCCACTTTGTTGAGCTCAACGCTTAGACCGACAGCTTACAAAGTACTCATAAGAACAGCCGAGTACGTACATTGTTGTACGTTTGTTGAGGGTGGAGGCGCGACCTACAGAGCCAAGGGTGAAAGTTAAAACCCCTAAAACCCTGAACCCGTAAGACTCCTAACGCCCCTGAAGCCCCTAACATCTCTAAAGCCCCTAAACCCCCACAAAACCCCTGAAGCCCCGAAAACCCCTAAAGCACTCTCTAAAGCCCCTCAAACCCCTCCCTATATAAAACCCTTGAAAAAACCCCAAAACAACTAAAACCCCTAAACCCCTAAACCCCTAAAAACCCCTAAAAACCCCTAAACCCCTAAACCCCGAAACCTTAGACCCTACACCCGAAACCCCAAACCCTAAACCCTAAACCCCTAACCCCTAAACCCCAAACCCCTGACCCCTAAAACCCTAACCCCACCCCTAAACCCCTAAACCCCTAAACACCTAACCCCTAAACCCCTAAACCCCTAAACCCCTAAACCCCTAAACCCCTAAACCCTTAAAACCCCTAAAGCCCCTAAAAACCCTACAACCCGTAAATCCCAGACCCTAAACCCAAAACCCCAAACCCTAAACCCTAAACCCTGAACCCTAAAGCCTGAAAACCCCAAATGCCCCTAAAACCCCCAAAGCAACCGGCGCCGAGAGGCCAAGCGCGAACTTCGACGCCCCAAGGCGCACTTCCAGGCATTTCGACTTCCTTGGTAGCCCACAGTAGCAATACTTATTGTAAGGGTTTAGGGTTTGGGGTTTAGGGTTACCCTATTTGGGGTTGGCTACCTTTATAAGGGGACCCAGAAACCAAAAAAAAAACAGGGCAGCCATACACAATCATAAGGGTAATATAGGGCTCGGAAGAATTACTAATTTAATAGTATTCCCTTAGGGTCCCTTTAGAAATATAATGACCCTAAACCTTGTAAACCCTAAACCCCAAACCCCGAACCCTAACTCTAAACCCTAAACCCTAAACCCTAAACCCTAAACCCTAAACCCTATTCTAATTCTTCCGGCCCCTATAGCACCCCTGGGCTACCAAGCTTCCCAGCCGGACGGAAGTGCAACGTCGCGGCATCCCAGCGCCAGCCTTTGCTAAAGGTTTAGGGTTTAGGGTTTAGGGTTTAGGGTTTAGGGTTTAGGGTTTAGGGTTTAGGGTTTAGGGTTTAGGGTTTAGGGTTTAGAGATTAGGGTTTAAGGTTTAGGGTTTAGGGTTTAGGGTTTAAGGTTTAAGGTTTAGGGTTTAGGTTTTTTCAGCTTATGACTCGGAACTTGTGACACTTGTGGGCTTCGGAATCGTGACTTAAAGTTTCGGGCCTTGGGGTTTGAGGCAGACGCTAGCCAGGACAGGGTTCAGGTCTACACTCGTGCTTGTCGCGCAGGAGTAGTCTTTGGAGTTGGGTCCAGACATGTTTCTAGCAGGTCTCATGGCGCCTAGGGTTTATTATCGCATGACACGAAGAAGGGGCGGGGCATTCCGATGCTTTGTTGCCTTTGCTGAACCGAGTACCAAGCCCAAATCAGGGCCTAAGGAGAAGATGACGCCAAAAACCCTAAACCCTCAACACTCAACTTTCAACACAAAGGGATCCTAGACCCGAGCAAAGTGTTATCAGCAACGTAAACACGAATATGTCCCCTAAGTTTCGGGTTTAGGGTTTAGGGTTTAGGGTTTAGGGTTTAGGGCCTGTGAAGCCCCCAAAAAGCCCCACAGCCGGTGTCGCCCTCGCTTTGCGAGACAGGCGTCGTGCATTCTTCAGCCCCGCATCGCAGACCTGGCTCGTGGGTTTCCCTCCTACCCCTCCCCTATCCATACTACCCCCCCCCCCCCCCACCCCTTATTTTTTGGGGTTTAGGGTTTACGGTTTGGGGTTTAGGGATACTACCCCCAACCCCCCCCTGGTTTCCCCCCATAACTAAGGCTAATTGGGGATCATTCAGCCTGGTTAAGGCGCTATTTAAGGGGGGAACCTAGGGGGGGGGGGGGGTAGCTTGGAGGGGCTTATGACTCCCATGACTGGCACTTGTTTGTACCCCTCCATGGGTCGTACCAACCGCCTTAACCCTAAACCCTAGAAAAGGCCACGAAAAACCCTAAACCCTAGACCCTAAATCCTCTAGGGCCTCGTAACTTGAGGTATAGGGAAACAGCTAGACACATTCTGACTGTCTGCTCAGACAGCGACATCCTGCAAATCCACTGCTCTTCGTATAGTATAGAGGAAGGGTTAGGGTTTAGGGTGTCGTGTTTAGGGTTTAGGGTTTGGGGTTTCAAGGGCCCTCCTACCACACAAAGCCCTCCGCAGTGCACAGCATGACAGCATCCTTCTTGTTTCCACGGCCTCGATGATGAGGCTGCTGTTTTTCTTCGCTACGCAGCCGATGTAGTTGGTCTGCCTAGGTTGTTGTTGCGGGTATGGGAGGCTTGCGGTGTAGCAGAAATTCCTTAGAAGTCTTCATGGGCCGATGCCGGGCCAAACGCCCCAAGCCATGAGATGCCAAAAGGCTCCATAAGCCACCCCGCTCCACACCCTAAGATGTGTTAAGAGGCAATCTCAAGAACCTGCGAGGACGAAGGGTGTCAAGCAAATGTCTTCAACGTCTCTAGAGAGGGATTGCGATGTGGGGGTTTGCGAAAACAAGGGGCCTCTAGTATGGCCCCAAATCGCATTCCCTTATATGAAGGACCCCAGTATGGTACCCCTAATGTCGAAAACCCCCAATGTGGGTTTAAGGTTGAGGTTTATCATTGTGAGGCTCGCAGCCACTGCCTTCCTTCTCTACACTTTATATAGGTCAAGCTTTGCCGAAGGAAGGCGTCAAGGCCGAAACGCATGACACATTTGCCACAGGGGCCCTCCTGCAATGAAGGCTACAGTGTGCGAGCAGACCCCATAACTCTACAACCCACGCCATTTCCATAAACCCTAAACCCTAAACCCTAAACCCTAAACCCTGAACCAAAGACTTCGGATCTCTGCTGGGCTGCGGCAGCCGGACGAGGCCGTCCCCACCCATCACGAAGGCCTGTGCGCCGCGCCTTGGACCAAGGGTTTGGGGTTTTGGGTTTTGGGTTTAGGGTTTACGGGGTTTGACTGTCCCTTACCTGGCCTCACCAAGGTACAGTAGGGTTTAGGGTTTAGGGTTTAGGGTTGACTGGGGTTGTCCTCAACAATCCCTACATAGGAACCACACGCTACCCTGTCCTACGATCCTCCAAGTCACTGGGCGGATCTGGATGCCATAAAATATTCAAAGTCCAATGGGTTGTCCGAGTGCTTTTCCCCGTGTATCAACCATATAAAGTGCCCAAAATACTGTCATCTGACTCCCTGTCTGGCATCAAGAAGCAAACGGAGCCATGCAGATTCTAACATTAATAAACGTCATGGGGTCATTGGGTAGACCAACGGCCTCGGACAAAGGTTCAGGGTTTCTAGAGGTTCAAGATGCAAGTTCACGGGTACTTCTATGTCGGGTAGTAGGGTACCTATGGTTTACGGTACTGAAAACTGCTTCTAAGTAGCCACAAACCTTTGAGTACACGGGCCAGACTAAGGAGGATTCGACGATTAGCAACAGTGCGAGGAGGGTGTGCAGGGCTCAGGCGACGGAAAGAGAGCCGACTTCTCTGAGGGTTTACAGTTGAGGGTTTAGGGTTTAGGCGCATCTGTCAGAACATACGCTGTCTAAGTTGAGTTCGAGCAGTGCCTTCCACAGCTCACCTAAAATGATCACATGCTGATTGTGCTGAATCGTCCTCTTTCTCAAGCTCTCTGCAGAAGCCTTTTGAATCACCGGCCCAACAGCGTAGCAAGCGAGCATCCCAGATCCTAAGGGCCGAACAACTCTTCAAAGTAACTCCCAAAAACCGAACCGAACCACCAAGATTGCGCACTTATATACTGATCATAAGCACATTCGTAGCAATTATAATGGATAAGGGAATCACAGAATCACGAGTTCTTTTTTCGGGCCAAGCCGCTGCCCATGACAGCTGAAAAGCTCAATCTCCTCGCCATGGCCGCTGTGGCCTAAGGTGTCCAAGCAGGCACCGTACCTGAGGGTGCGCGGATTCAGGGTTTATTAGGCTTGGAAGCTTTATGTTTAGGGTTTAGGGTTTAGGCTTGCAGGATTAGGCTGGTGTAGGGTTCCGGGGAGCACGCAGCACCTGCACGCTCAACCCCAATCTGCTGATTCCTGTATTCACACGTGTGACCACAAAGTCGGAAGATCGGAATATAAATCCACAAGCCATTGACTGCCCCTCATAGTGTGGCCTCCTGTTCTGTAGCGCACCGACGTGGGCGGAGTCCGAAATATTTGGCACGTGCATGCCTGAACAGATGGGACAACAAGTGCAGTAGCGACCAGTACAGACCTTAAACCCTCATAGGCCCTATACTTCAAGGTTCATGGTTGCTTCTAAGTAGGGTTCAAGTACAATAGGGTCATAAGTACCCTAAATAGGGGCTATAACCATGGTTACCCTACTTGAAACCATACTTGTATGTACCCATGAACCTCCAAGTAGGTCCCTCAAGTATACCCTGCAAGTACCCGGTGTAGGGTTTGGGGTTCATATCTATAGAACGAGAGATCCACTAGCCCGATAATCGCCTTCCTCTCCCTTCCCCCAGGTGCAAAATGTTTCGAAAAACCTAATGTCTTCGGTCGAATTACTCCCCTAAACATGAAACCCTAAACTCTATAATCCCTAAACCCGAAACCCTGAACTCTATAATCCCTAAACCCTGGAGCTGCAGGGAAAGGGCCCGGGATTCCACCCACACGCCTTGCGCCACAGATTGGAGATACCTCGGCTAAGCGGCCCGCAGCAAATTGTGCGGGTTGAGGGTTTAGGGGGTTTAGGGGGCTAAGGGTGTTGTGTGTCTCTGTGTGTCTGTGTGTCTGTGTGTGTGTGTGTGTGTGTGTGTGTGTCTGTCTGTCTGTGTGTCTGCGTCTGTGTGTGGCGTAGGGCTTGGGGAAGTGGCCAAGGGGCTTGCATTCTACTTCGAGAGTCGGGCTGCATGGGGTCAGTGATTAACGGCGCAGGCCACATCAGGAAAAATAAGGGGTGGGTATGTTAGAGGTCGCGGGAAGACATACGAAATCTCACTGACCAAGTATACAATTCGGACGAAGACGGGCTTAGGGTTTAGGCTTCCGGGTTGATAGTGTAGATGGTGGCTCCCTTTCTGGGCATTTGTTAGAATAGCGGCCATACTGTTTAGGTGCCCAAGGTTGGGGGCCGACATTATGGAGAACTGGCCATATATGGGTTAGGTGTCGAAGCCATGTGATGGACTTGGAATTGAAGCCCCTGTACGGTTTAAGATGTAAGGCCCTAAATCCTATAAACCTTAAGAACCGAGTCACTACCCTCGTTTCTGCCCTCGCCTGGGTCTTGCCTTTTGCGACATGCATCCCCCGCTGTCACGGCATGTCATCAACATCTGACTCCATATCTCGAATATTCTACTGCTTGGTCTCAGTTCACACTCAGCAAGTCCGTCTGCGAAATGCCGTGGATGCAGAACTCACTGTCAAACTCCCCATTCAGAACTTCGAGCCTGAACCACTTCACAGATTTCTGGGGCTCGTCGCACGCCAATGTGGCGCCAGCCTCGATGTCTTGCTCCTGCGATTCGACAGCACAGTGCCACGCCGCGCCGTCCTGGGAACAAAGGATCCTGAGAGACACGCTGCTCGGAATTGCTCGGCTGAAATGGAAACCTGTGAGGTGCACCTGCGCATGCGGGAGCATCCACATCACCCAGCCCTTCTGATACATGTTGTAACAGTTGTTTCTCGCCAGCTTCTCCAAGTCCATGCCAGCCTGCCCAGGTCCGAGGACTACGACCACCCAGTATCCCACGAAACTCCCCTGCTTGCCAGAGCGATCATAGCGGTCCCAGAGGTCATAGAGGACATCCGTCCTGAACGTACCGGGCTGTACTGCCTCAGACACGGCCGGCATGGGCAGCTCTTCCCCTGCCTTGTCCCAGCCTCGTAGAAGGCTCCGAAAGGTGGATTTCTGGGTGCACAAGGAGCACAAACTCAGGATGGTCTCCAGCATCTCTGGTCTGACCGAAGGACGTCTTCGCAAGGCCTTCTCAGGCTCAGCGCAGATCATCTCCAAGGCCTCCACGCGCAGGGCTGCCACGCGAAACTTGTCCGCTGACGCGAAGACTTCACAGGCCTGCTCGGGCGTGAGGTTCTCACGAACGGCTTCCATGCACTGGGAATGTAGGGAAGGAACCTGGCACTTGTCTGCTATTGCGGCCACCTCGACCAGTGTGCCAACGGAGGTCTCCAACCGGCCGCAGTACAAGAAGCGCAGGAAGGCCTCAACGGCTTTCGCGGAGAAGTCTCGGATGACTACCTGCGCCTGCCGACATTCTTCGAACTCCTCGCGGGATGTCATGCTCTCGAAAACCGGAGAACGCTGTGCCAGTAAAGATGCCCAAACCTTGAACTCAGTGAGCTTCCCCGCACCACTGTCCCCGATCTCCTCTTCCACAAATACCGTGAAGTTGCCGTCCTTCCCAAAGCACGCGTCCAGCATGCCAGATAGAGAATCCGCCAGGTCGGCTTCCACAACGACTGGCATGGCTGATTTCTTCCTTCTAGGCACGACCTGAGGCGCAACACGTCTCGGATGCAAGAGCCTTGAACCAAGGTTGGGCATGATCTAAGCATGCTCCTACTCAAGCTTCACGATGATTTCGGGTGTCAGGGGCACTGTAAGGTTCTGGAGGGCCAGCGACCTTCCTAAACCTTTTCTTACACAAAATAGACTGCAACCCAAAACATGTTATCATGTTCAGGCAGAGCCCTTATAAAACCAAGCAGCCCTAGATCGACAAACTCTTAAAACACCAAGCCCTGAAACCCTAAAGTCCCTAAAAAGCTATACTCTGATACCCTAAAACACCTAAACCCTAAAACCCCAAACTTTACACTTCCAGCACGGCAAGGCCTGAGGACCTCGCCAGTCGAAGCCTGCGCAACCGAGTCGGCGTCGCAGCTCTGCTCGTCCCTGTGGCGGTTGCTCTGGGGCTTGTGGGATGTGGGGCTTAATGAGGGTTTCGGTGAAACTAAAATTTGGGCCTAATTCGGGTTTAGGGTTATAAACTTAGGAGGGGTTAGGTTGAGCAGTGTGTAGGTGTTGATGTTTACGGTTTGGGTGTTTTGAGGTTGGGGCCCTAAACCCGAAACCCTAGAACCCTAGGACTCTAGAACCCTAGAACCCTAGAACCCTAGAACCCTAACCCTATACCCTAGAACCCTAGAACCCCAGAACCCCAGAACCCCCAGAACCGCTAGAACTCTAGAACCCTAGAACCCTAGTACCCTAGAACCCTAGCACCCTAGAACCCGAAACCGGATTTCGGGCATGGGCTATTGTTCTATCGGCTCGGGGGTGTAAGGCTGACAAGAGCCCAGGGACAGACGTTAAAGGCTACCAAAACCCGGACACAGCAAGGCTAGAGATGCCCAAAACCCGAACCCCTAAACCCTAAACCCTAAACCCTCAACCCTAAACCCTAAACCCTAAACCCTAAATCCTAAATCCTACATCCTAAACCCTAAATCCTAAACCCAAAACCCTGAGCCCTAAACCCTGAACCCTAAACCCTGAACCCTGGGCCCTAAACCCTGAACCCTAAACCCGAGGTAAGAGATTCCCTAAACCATGCATGTCTGGTTGTGATATATATATATATATATGAAAGAGCAACCTTTCGGGTCTATTTAACCTCTCTTCTTTTCTATTTAACTGATAATTATTTAAATAATTTAAATTATTTAAATAATTTAAATAAAAACTACAACCCATTTAATTATTTAAATAAGTCGGGTGATTTAAATAATTTAAATGATTTAATTGAGACCAATTAAATTATTTAAATTATTTAAATAGATGAAAGAGGCCCGGGGATTTAAATAATTTAAATAATTTAATTCAGGCGAATGAAATTATTTAGATTGTTTAAATTGATTAAGGAGGCCGGGGGATTTAAATAATTTAAATAATTTAATTCCGCGCAATTAAATTATTTAAATTATTTAAATTATTTAAAATTTTTAAATTATTTAAATTATTTAAAGAGGCCGGAGGATTTAAATAATTTAAATAATTTAATTCGGCCCAATTAATTTATTTAAATTATTTAAATTATGTAAATTATTGAAATTATTTAAATTATTTTAATGCTCCCAAATCCAGGCTGCGGGCCGGAGTCGCCTGAGGCCGAATTTCCGACCATTTAAATTATTTAAATAATTTAAATAATTTAAATAAATTAATTCCGGCTAATTAAATTATTTAAATAATTTCAATTATTTAAGGAGGCAGGGGGATTTAAATAATTTAAATAGTTTAATTCAGGCCAATTAAATTATTTAAATTATTTAAATTATTTAAAGAGGCCGGGGGATTTAAATAATTTAAATAATTTAATTCGGCCCAATTAAATTATTCAAATTATTTAAATTATTTAAATTATTTAAATGCTCCCAAATCCAGGCTCCGGGCCGGAGTCGCCTGAGGCCGAATTTCCGACCATTTAAATAATTTAAATAATTTAAATAATTTAAATAATTTAAATAATTTAAATAATTTAAATAATTTAATTCAGGCCAATTAAATTATTTAAATTATTAAATTTATTTAAATTATTTAAAGAGGCCGGGGGATTTAAATAATTTAAATAATTTAATTCGGCCCAATTAAATTATTTAAATTATTTAAATTATTTAAATTATTTAAATTATTTAAATGCTCCCAAATCCAGGCTCCGGGCCGGAGTCGCCTGAGGCCGAATTTCCGACCATTTAAATTATTTAAATAATTTAAATAATTTAAATAATTTAAATAATTTAATTCCGGCCAATTAAATTATTTAAATTATTTAATTATTTAAGGAGGCGGGGGATTTAAATAATTTAAATAATTTAATTCAGGCCAATTAAATTATTTAAATTATTAAATTATTTAAATTATTTAAATTATTTAAATTATTTAAATTATTTAAATTATTTAAAGAGGCCGGGGGATTTAAATAATTTAAATAATTTAATTCGGCCCAATTAAATTAGTTAAATTATTTAAATTATTTAAATTATTTAAATTATTTAAATGCTCCCACATCCAGGCTCCGGGCCGGAGTCGCCTGAGGCCGAATTTCCGACCATTTAAATTATTTAAATAATTTAAATAATTTAAATAATTTAATTCAGGCAAATTAAATTATTTAAATTATTTAATTTATTTAAATTATTTAAAGAGGCCGGGGGATTTAAATAATTTAAATAATTTAATTCGGGCCGGGGGATTTAAATAATTTAAATAATTTAATTCGGCCCAATTATATTATTTAAATTATTTAAATTATTTAAGTTATTTAAATTATTTAAATGCTCCCAAATCCAGGCTCCGGGCCGGAGTCGCCTGAGGCCGAATTTCCGACCATTTAAATTATTTAAATAATTTAAATAAATTAAATAATTTAATTCAGGCCAATTAAATTATTTAAATTATTTAAATTATTTAAATAGGCCGGGGGATTTAAATAATTTAAACAATTTAATTCGGCCCAATTAAATTATTTAAATTATTTAAATTATTTAAATTATTTAAATTATTTAAATGCTCCCAAATCCAGGCTCCGGGCAGGAGTCGCCTGAGGCCGAATTTCCGACCATTTAAATTATTTAAATAATTTAAATAATTTAAATAATTTAAATAATTTAATTCAGGCCAATTAAATTATTTAAATTATTTAAATTATTTAAATTATTTAAATTATTTAAATTATTTAAATTATTTAAATAGGCCGGGGGATTTACATAATTTACATAATTTAATTCGGCCCAATTAAATTATTTAAATTATTTAAATTATTTAAATTATTTAAATTATTTAAATTATTTAAATGCTCCCAAATCCAGGCATCGGGCCGGAGTCGCCTGAGGCCGAATTTCCGACCATTTAAATAATTTATATAATTTAAATAATTTAAATAATTTAAATAATTTAATTCAGGCCAATTAAATTATTTAAATTATTTAAAGAGGCCGGGGGATTTAAATAATTTAAATAATTTAACTCGGCCCAATTAAATTTTTTAAATTATTTAAATTATTTAAATTATTTAAATTATTTAAAGAGGCCGGGGGATTTAAATAATTTAAATAATTTAATTCGGCCCAATTAAATATTTAAATTATTTAAATTATTTAAATTATTTGAATTATTTAAATTATTTAAATTATTTAAATGCTTCCAAATCCAAGCTCTGAGCCCGCAGACTCGCGGCTCGATTTGGCCAAATTTTGCCCGCAGACTGCCCGGCAAAATTTGGCCAAATCGAGCGGCGCCTTTCTGAAGGCCCGAAACTATATAAACTCTCGCGGCTCGATTTGGCCAAATTTTGCCCGGCAGCCTCCGGGCAAAATTTGGCCAAATCGAGCCGCGCCTTTCTGAAGGCCCGAAACTATATAAACTCTCGCGGCTCGATTTGGCCAAATTTTTCCCGGCAGCCTCCGGGCAAAATTTAGCCACGTCGGGCTGCTCTTTGTACGCGATAAGGAATGCGCGGCTCGATTTGGCCAAATTTTGCCCGGAGGCAATTTTATTGCGCGTATTTAAATTATTTAAATTGTTTAAATGCTCCCAAGTCCAGGCTCTGGGCCGGAGTCGCCTGAGGCTGAATTTCCGACCATGTAACTTGTTTAAATTATTTAAATTATTTAAAGAGGCCGGGGGATTTAAATAATTTAATTCAATTCTGTACAATTAATTCAATTAATTTATTCTTTTTGTCACCTTTAATCATCTTCTAATCGGGTCATCGTTTGGATCTTATTTGGAAAGCATCCTTTGTCATAATCATATTCTATCGTTATCACCTTTTTGTTACCTTTTTGTTGTAATCTTTTATCATTTTTGTCATATTTTCATCATCTTTTATCATCTTTTAATCGGGTCATCGTTTGGATCTTATTTGGAAAGCATCCTTTATCCTAATCATATTCTATCGTTATCACATTTTTGTTATCTTTTTGTTGTAATCTTTTATCATTTTGTCATATTTTTATCATCTTTTATCATCTTTTAATCGGGTCATCGTTTGGATCTTGTTTGGAAAGCATCCTTTATCCTAATCATATTCTATCGTTATCACCTTTTGTTATCTTTTTGTTATAATATTTTATCATCTTTTTTGTCATCTTTTTATAATATTTTATCATCTTTTAATCGGGTCATCGTTTGGACTTTGTTTTTGAAAGCATTTTATCTTAATCATCTTCTATCGTTATCATCTTTTATCATATTTTATCATCTTTTATCATCTTTTTGTCATCTTTTATCATCTTTTATCATCTTTCTGTCATCTTTTTGTAGTCGTTTATCATCTTTTTGTCATCTTTATTATATGTTTCCGTCTTATATCATTATGATTATGGGGTGAGCAAGGAGTCAAATCGCAAGCCCTGGTCCCTAAGATTTTCGGTTCAGCTTTTATGCCAAAGAGTTAAATCGCAAACCCAAACCAATTAAATCATTTAAATCCTACGGTCTAATTAAATTATTTAATTGAGGCGTCGGATTTAAATAATTTGATTGGCTCTGTGCTTGTCTGTACTCACCTCCCACCACAAGTAAATTAATTTATACGATTT